GCCCACGTGCCCATCGGTAGATGAGTGAATAAAAAAGCTGTGGCACATTTACCCAATGGAATACTACGCAGCTGTGAAAAAGGAAGGGTCTCTTACCCTTTGCAACAGCAGGTATGGACCTGGAGATTATCATGTTAAGCGAAATAAGCCAGTCAGAGAAAAACAAATATCACATGATTTCACTTATATGTGAAATCTAACACAATAAACTGACAAAATAGGTCCAGAGACATGGATGCATGGAACAGACGGATAGTAGATCTCAGAGGGAGGAAAGGGTAGGAAGAGATTAACCAAAGAACATATATGCATCTAAGCATAGCCTATGGACACAGACAATAATGTAGCAAAGACTTGGGGAAGGGGGGACTGGGTGGAGGGGAAAAGTGGAGGGGGGGTTGAAAGGGGAACATCAATAAAAAAACAAAGACTATTAAATGGTTGACGCCTAGAAATCCTGCTTCTGAAAATCACTTCTTTGGGAAGACCTCAACTGGAAATGCGAATTTGTCATCTTTTTCTTGCTGACACAGACAGACAACCTTAGTGATGAAGTTTTGCCAAAGTTACCAACACACAAAGGAAGTAATTCAAGGTGAATTCAACCCAAAGAGTCTTAGAGAATTTTGACCCACGCCTACTCTTGCCAGACATCATTAATGACAAGAGCTTGTGTTTCATTGGATACTTTGGTGAGTTTTTAACACATGTTTGCATTGCATTTAAAATATCAAATCTAGCTGTAACCGGTTTGGCCCAGTGGATAGAGCGTCGGCCTGCGGACTGAAAGTTTCCAGGTTCGATCCCGGTCAATGGCATGTACCTTGGTTGCAGGCACATCCCCAGTAGGAGGTTTGCAGGAGGCAGCTGATCGATGTTTCTCTCTCATCGATGTTTCTAACTCTCTATCCCTCTCTCTTCCTCTCTGTAAAAAATCAATAAAATATATTTTTAAAAAATATATCAAATCTAGATATTATAGAGACAAATGTTGCCATGGAAAACCATTCGAAATCCTCAACATTGTGGTCTCTTGTATTCCATGAGCACAAAATTGTGAGTGTAGTATGTATGGGTGTGTTGATCTGGAAAGAGAATCCATAGTTTTTATCCGTTTCCTAAAGAGGGTAGAAACCAGCAAACTACATACTAAGGCCTCTCCCAGTTCTGAAATTACATACATCTTAAACTCTAATGACAAATTGGGGATGTTATTGGAACATTTAGTGAAAATTTGGATCCCTTGTCTTTGCAATGTCAAATATTGCCTGAAAAAAATTCCACTTGTTACCCAAGTGTTTGAAGTCACATACAGAGAGTCAAACAGCTGGGCCATAATGTTAACGCACACATTTGTGTGATTGATGCTGGGCTCCTACTATTCCCTGAGCCTAAGTGTCTGCATCTAAGTACAGCCCAGTTGAAGGTTGTCAGGGATCCACCACAGCAGACAAGGAGAGGATGCTGTGAGCATCCACAATTCCTGATCAATAGCCAAAATGTGCCTCCTTACGTATCCTGATGAAATCACCTTGCTTTTAACAACTAAAACTCGATAGAAGCTGAGTCAGATACCCATGGTTAACTCCCCACCCAGCTCACCTCTGGCAAGTGGGCGAGGGGAAGCGAGGTGGAAGTGTGTCTTTCACCCACATAGAAGGCGTCTTATTCATCTGAACACCTGCTCAGGACAGGAAGAGGCCAGCAGAAGGGCCCAGACCGCACCCAGCACCATCGCAGAGCCACACGGAGGATTGCCCTCACGTCCTCCTGATTGCGAGGCTGTTGGGAGTTAACACTGCAAAATGCATGCGGAACGAAGTGGAACTTAGATTCTTTAGGCTCTCACTCCAAAGAGTCTGACCCTCAGGCTCCTAAAAGCTTTCTACTTTTTGTTCCTTTTTTGTATTTCATGAGAGCCATAAGAATGAACTTAAAAACCACCACCACTGTGTGGTCCGAAAAAAGCGCCCTTCTGCTTTGGGTTACTCTCCACGTGAAGTGAATACGGAGCCTCTTCCTTCTCCCCCTCAATGAAATTCCTTGGACTTCGGAGCACAAGGACAGGGCAGAGGAATAAAATCAGTGAGGGAGCCCGGCTGGCGTGGCTCAGTGGTTGAGCGTCCACCTATGAACCAAGATGTCACAGTTCGATTCCCGGTCAGGGCACATGCCCAGCGTGCGGCCCAATTCCCAGTGTGGGGTGTGCAGGAGGCAGCCGATCAATGATGCTCTCTCATCATTGATGATTCTATCTCTCTCTCCGTCTCCCCTTCTCTCTAAAATATATTTAAAAAATAAAAATAAAATCAGTGAGGGACACACCATCAGCTCTTACCCTTTGCAAAACATTACTAGGCCCTAGTCACGCAGTTCCTGGCCGGTTTCTTTGGGCCGTCCCAAAGGAATATTCCATTTCGGGCCTGGGATCATGTCCCTAGGCACATTTCTCCCCGCACAGCTCAATGGCACCACTGGGTGGGGTAATAAAGGGTCTGTTTACAATATTCTCTTTCTCAGGACTGGAGGTGCGGTGTTTTGGACTCCTCACCGCTGATCAATTTTTCAGTCTGCTGCTTTATCTACCTGACAGGAAGACTTGAACTCCTGCCATTTCTAAATTGCTCTTCTAAATATTGACTTAATGGCGAGACTCAGAGTGTCATAACACAGCTCACTGGCGCAATGAAGGTTTTCCAGGCCTCCTCGAGGGGTCTGCGCAACGTCCTGTGGGACCAGGGAAGGAAGAGGAGGATTCGAGAAGAAAAACAAAATTCAGCCATGTTTAGAAGAAATGCCACCGCACTTCGCTTCATCTTCCGGAGACAAATGAACGCTCGCCGTGCTATTAGCTGTGGCTGGAGGGGACCGAGGGGCAGGGGGGAGAGGAAAGCGGTGACCCTCATCCGTCAGCTGTCAGCCAAGGTGCCGGGCCATCCTGGAGGGCCGGGCCGCAGGGCCTTCGGAGATAGCGGCCACTCAGCCGCTATCTGTGTCTCCAGTTCCATGGGACTGGACAGTGTGTAGGAAACCAGAGACTTTTCAACCAATTCCTATCAAGACTTCACCACGGCGAGGTCTTTAGCGAGTCCCCATGTAGGTCACTGGGGAAATTCTAGGAGGCTAGCCTTTCGGCTTCTTTCCTCCTGATAGTTAACACCATGAGCTGATCTTAAGGCGTCGCATCACATTAGCTGTTGAACTGTGAACCAAAGGAAGCGATTGGCCCTTTCTTGCCCTTTGAGGAGCTGTTTTGGAGGAGCAACAAGATATTTTACATGCAAGTTAGCTTTGAGGTTTTGTAGATACTCGGTGATATAGAAATTCAAGTTGTTTATTATCATTAAGGAGCCAGATTCTCCAGGATGAGAGCAAGAATAATGCTCTGTGACTGCTCACGAAGAGCTGGAGTGTTAGGTTAAGCAGATAAGCGTGGAAGAGGGCCCTTGGCCTCGGGCAGTGTTCTCCTTGCGGGGCCCTTGGGTTTGTTCTAAGGTTGCTCCCGAGGCAGCGCGCCCAATCTGCACTCTCCTGTGCCTGCATGTGGACCCTAGTTGGTTTGTTTTTTTGTTTTTTTTTAAATAATGATTTCTGAGAATGACCTCAAACTGCAGCACAAGCTTTTGGCTTCAGACCTCCCCGCATTGGGCTGACCCACGCGCTTGGCTCTTCCAGCAAGTCTGATCCGCCTGGCTGATGCACTGTCTTGTCTGCTTGATCTCACATCCAACTCCGTGAAGAAGTCGAGTCTCCACTTAACGGTAATGGAGCTCTCTGAAGCCCCTCCCTTGCCCAAAAGCTTCTGACCATATCAGCCAAGGGAGCTGCGACGGACACAATCCCAGGTGTCTTCTGAGGAAACTCTAGCGCTCCCCCTGAAACTGTGTCTGCCTGTCCTTCTGCCCAGTTTTGGATGAATGCAGCCTGCTCCTGCCTTCACCGCTCCCCTGTACATGCCAGCTCTGCTCTGGGGCACTTTCAGGGCACTCGTCACAGCACGGCTTTCCATCGTCTCCATCTGTTTGTGTTCTATGCTCCTCCGAGAGCTGGCGTAGCCTGGAGCGCCCTGAAGAGCTCTCCACGTGACCACCTCCATCCAGCATCTTCCAAACTCCTGCTGAAGGCCACGCCCTCAGTGTGGGCCATCTGTGATTCAGCCGTGGCTTACTCATCCTTCTCTCCACTCTCTGCCGCCGTCCCCCACCACCCGCCATGCTCTCACAATTCTATTGGGCCACTGCTGCCCTCCAACCCAAGCCAATGAGACCCCCTCGGCCGCTTCTCCCTCTCTATCCCTTCATTTCTTCTAGACCCTCCCTGAGACCCTCTCCCACATGGCAATCATCGGCGCTGCACCGTTAAGAACTAGGAAGACAGTGTCTACAGCCATGCCCATGGGAAAGTCAAATTGCACACTTACCTGAGAACAAATCCCACCAGTGGGAAGACAATGCGAAGTTGATTATCACTGAGTCCTCTCATCCTTAATGAAAGATTTTCGACTGCTGAGATGAGAGAATCCTGAAGACGCCTTAGAGAAGCCAGGGTAGCTTGCACGGTTACTTACCTCATTGCAGTAAGTAAAGTAATTTAGTTTTTCATTGACTGTTATTTCAAGGGGCTTCATTAAATACACTACTGACAGTTCTAAGTGCTTTGAATCATCTTTTCAACACCATAGAGGAGCTCAAAATCTAAAGAAACGGTATGCCAGATTCTCTTGCCAGGCAAGTAAGCATGCTGTGACTATCTCAGATTTAGCGCCGGAAAAGGCATGATAGACTACAGCAGCATTGCTGAACCAGGGGGATCTGGAAATGGCATCGTGCCTGGTCTGGTGTTAGAGAGTTCAAAACAATTTTTTATACAAACATGCTCAAAAGCAATCCTTGAATAAAGATCTCATTTTCCAAACCCTGGCCTGGTCTTCACACGTGTCACCTGCATCCTTTGTCTTTGGAGACTCCACGTTGTTTTGAGATGTGGGTGGATGTACTCACCTGGCCAGTAGTACATGTGGACCTTCCTTTTGGCTTTGGTCAGGGTGACCCACAGAGGTTCTGATCCATTCCACCAGAGCGGCATCAGGCTGTCTTTGTTGACACCGATGTCAAATGACTTATTGCTGTTGGAGTCCCACATGTAGTTCCCGGTCATCTGGTGGACCTCAGAATGTCTGCCTGCAGCAAATAGAACACAAGCTGTCGTTATTGTTCTGGGATTTTTATATTGTACTAGTGACCTGGTGCACGGACTCGTGCACATTGAAAGGAAATTAATTAGGTGGCGGGTGGGGCGGTACTGGGCTAGACCAACTGAAAATGCCCTGGAGCCAACCTCCCGTGGCCTCTCCCCAGTGTCTGCAGAGTGTGCAGGGTCCCTCTGGCAGGTGGGGTCCCTCTGCCTGGCCTGCGGGGATTGGGCTGAAACTGGCTCTCCGAATCCCCTGAGGGGTCCCGGAGTGCACTCTGCAAAGTTGTTATTGTACAGGGTGTGGAATGCAAACACAAGTGTGCAGTAAACCAGATTCAGGGTCGACAGTGCCCCATCAACAACATAACCCACAGCCGAAGGTGGAACCCCCCGGGGAGAACTGCCGCTGCCAAGTCACTACAGCTCGGCAGCTCCTGTGTTGAACATCTGCCCCCTGGTGGTCAGTGCGCATCATAGCAACCAGTCGGACAGGTGGAGGAACACTTAGCATATTAGCCTTTTATATATATATAGATAGATTTATATATATATATAGATCTTTGTTTTCGGTTTATAAATGCTGTTCAACCACATTTAGGAAGTATAGAGCAGCATAAAGATTGGCGTTTGATTTTTTTTTAACATAGATGTTTCTTCTCTCTCAGTTGTACCATAATGGCACACAACAGAGTGAGAAGTCCAATAATTGATCAAGGATGGGATCATTTTGTGTGAAGTCAATCTGCCAAGTCTAAAGCTATTTTTAAGTTAAACTGAGGACGCCGTGTGCAAAATGCGACCCATTGTTCCTGGCTTGAAGTCTGAGTATGAATCTGAGTGGAAATGGCAGGCCCCTGTGGGACTTGGGGTCTCTCCCCGAGCACTCCTGCACCCCTTCCAGCTGGTGATGTTCCTGCGAGAGCACAAGTAGATGCTATGGGGCTCATTCCCTTTCTTCCTGTGGAAGGAGAGTACCGCTTCCACACTGAACAGCGACAGAACCTGTGGCACTGGGAACAGAGCGGCGAAAAATAGATTCAACACCAAAAAACAACAGTCCAAATGGCGTGTTAGAGACACGGCGGTTGCTTCTGTTGGGCACGGCTCCGTCCCAGAAGAGAAGCCAGAAGCGAAAGACACACGCGCTTGGACGCTTCTGAAATACGAGGCTTAAATTATTTATGCTGCGGCAATCTGTTACATCTTTAAAGTAAAAATAACACAAACATTGGCAAGTGCATCAAAAATTGCTGCAATTTTCGTGAGCGTCACTTGGCACGGGATGAAGCGTGCTTCCTCGAGCTGACTACGCTTAATCAACGCGGGCTTTTGTTTGTTTGCTGTTTCTTCTTGACTGTCCCCACCCCAACACACACACACACACACACTTAATTTTAAACAAAAACAAGGAAAAACCATAAAATACAATTTTGAACATGTGGAAACCCCACATATCATAAAGGAAAACCTTTTATTCCATCACAGAAACCCAGGCATTGCACAAGTCATGCTTTGAATTTAAAGCCCAGAGACCCACACAGGGTGGGTTTTTTACCCAAAGCTTTTCCGGAACCAGCGCTTTGTCCTTTTATGAGTTAAAGGTTTCTGCGTGTAGAGGGGCGTTCTTCCAACAAGACCCCCTCGGGTCTGTTTGGAAAGTGGGTTTCATTCTCCTGGCGGCTTGGGCCTGGGGTGGCAATGGGAGGCTGTATTCATCAAGGGCTTAATCCCATCACCATGCGGTGCTGGTCCCCGCACACCCCTCTGGCCTGGGAAGCTTGCCTGTCGCGGAGGCAGCAGGAAATGGAGCCCCACCACCTCGGCGGCTCTGTGGCTTCTGCTGAGCGGACTTTCCTTCCGCGATGGGTGAAGACTGGCAGCTGGGCCCGTGTCAGTCTGAGCTGCACGTGCTCGAGCTGGTTTCTCACCTGCCCTGTCTCTCTCCCTTTTCGTATGTATTGCCAGGGTGAACGTGGTGGGAAAGAACAGAGCAAAACAAAGGTGCTGGCTTCTGCAGCCCACGAGCTCTGACCTCAGTATTCCACCGGACCCGCTCCTTTTCTACATCTGCAACTCTTCTTCTTTATAAACATATGTTTTTATTGGTTTCAGAGAGGAAGGGAGAGGGGGAGAGAGAGAGAGAAACGTCAATGATGAAAGAGACTCATTGATCGGCTGCCTCCTGCACGCCCCACACTGGGGATCGAGCCCACACCCCAGGCATGTGCCCTGACTGGGAATCGAACCATGATCTCCTGGTTCATAGGTCGATGCTCAACCCGAGCCACAATGGCTGGGCCACCTGCAACACTTCTTGATTGGTCTACGCTTGCGCTCAACAGAGAAACCCTTTGCTCAAGGCTTCGGTGAAGAATTTCCTGATGCCAACACACACCACGCCTCTCAGGTGGTTCTCAGGTGTGGTGCAGAGGCCGACGAAGGACAACTCTGTGGGGCTTTAACCTTTGTACCAGGAGACCCAGTGCTCACTGTGAAAAAGGGGGCAGCTCCTCAACAGTTAAATGTTTTCCTCCTTTTTTCTCCCTTATCCCTAAGACACAAGAGTTTGTAAACACTTAGGTTCCACAACCAGTAAGTAATTTTTCATTATACAAAAGCTTTCCTAATTTCTGGTGTATAATCACTTTTACAAAGTAATACTCATCTTTAATTTCTAAAGCCATTCATTGTGTTTTCCTGGGTCCATGTGTGCTTCCATTGGATGAATGTGGCTGTGTCTACTAGATATAAAAACAGCTGGTTGAGCCCGGCTGGTGTGGCTCAATGGTTGAACGTCAACCCATGAACCAGGAGGTCACGATTGATTCACGGTCGGGGCACATGCCTAGGTTGCAGCTCAATGCAGTGTCTCTCTCATCATTGATGTTTCTATCTCTCTCTCACTCTCTCTTCCTCTCTCTGAAATCAATTTTTAAAAAAAACAGCTGGTTGAAACATGAAAAATAAACTTATATTTTAGGCACCTCAATTTATTCCAAACATGGCAACATAAATACAGTTTACACATACTAATGAGGAGCTGGAGACGATTCTTTTAGGACAGATACGTTTTCACAGAGGCAGCCCCCGGGGAGTTGAGTTCCGAGTTGCAGGCAGGCCTCCGTTCGCCCCCTCCCCCGCTTGCTGGAAGTCTGGCTTACAACTGAACCAGGCTGGGGGCAGTCTGTCCAGCTCAGGAAGGTGATGGGTACAGTGGGGAGATGCCAGCCAAGTGGTCAGACAGACCGCTACTAGCCCACTTCACAGGTGAAGCCACTGAGGCCCAGAGAGTCTCACACTAGGAGGCGTAGTGGACTCAGGCTTCAGCCGGCAGCCTGGCCCGGAGCCCTGGCTCTCCACCACTGCGACCTCCTGCATGAATCGCAGTGTAGGAAGCGGCACTCAGAACAGGTCCCAGCCCTTTGCAAGCCCACGGGAAGGGAGCCGGTGCCCACACGCTGGCTCTAATGCCATCTGCCAACTCCACCCTCCAGACAGGATGACTGCGGACCAGCTCGGTCCAGGGGTGAGGTTCCAGGGCTCCGCCTACTCAGGTAGCGGCTCACCTGGGCCAATGCATGGAGCCGCCGGGGACCTGGTGAGGCGCAGGAGGGGTCATCACTGAAGGCAAAGGCCTGAGCCCATTTGACAGGTGCCTGCTGGTGGCTCAGTGAAAAGACGAGCTGGCAGTATCTGGCCACCGACCACATGGTGGGAACTAGTGCTTCCAGCTCCCATCTCATCCGGCCTCCCATCACCCTAAGAGACAGACAAGGAAGAACTGAGGCTCAGAGTGGCTGGGTGACCAGGCTCGGGCCACGCAGTGGGCAGAGGGCAGAGCCCGGTCAACCCAGGCCTCTCTGCCTCAGTCCACACCCTCTGGTACCAGCGACCCTGCAGCCACTTTAATAGCAGGGCCGAGCCGTTTTAATAGAAATGGCCTCAAAATCCAGGTCTCCTTCGGAGACTCTCAAGAAAGTAGCCACATGGAGTTTCCCGAGTCTCAGAAAGCCAGACGCACTCCTGTCCCCTGCAGTCCACGCTCATGTGCCCTTACCGTAAGTATCCTAAAGGGGGGAACGCTGCCAGCCCAGGGCACTAACATAACAAGCAAGAATCTTCTGTTCCCTCTCCCTCTGGAAAGAGTCCAGCTGTGGAAAGAGTCGTCCAAAGCCCTGAACCCTTCGGGTCTTACGCTAAGGAGTGCATTTTGGAGATCAAGTGCATAAACATCACCTCAAATTCACACGGCCCCCGGAAGCAATCGTACCCCGATTCTGAGCCCGCGGCCTGAGCGGGTCATGATGAATGCTCCTCTGAGCACTTTTCCCTGAGTCTTTGGAGGGTCTGAAGACTGGCGCAGACCCTGGCTAGTACATTTTCAAACAAATACTTGCTATCCAAGGGACTCGAAAGAATGAGCAATGCCTCGCTCGAAGACCCTGGCTCACAAATCGAAATGTGCTTTACAGATCGCCTCTGCCGGGGATCGCATCTTATTTCCTTCACTTGTCCGCAGGCAGAACTTGGCGCGTTAAAGACATGGTTGCGACTGGGATCTGCACGTTGAGAGAGCAGCTCACAGTTTGCTCACCTTCACATGCAGCTGCTGCGGGATGTGCCAGACGCAGGCGAGACTCGAGTTGGAATCACAGATATGGCAAGACCGAGATAGCAGGCTTTGATTATTGCGGGAGGCGCAGAGGCAAAAATAACCCGAAATGTTAAGGAGGGGGAGTCCTTTGATTAGAGACATTCATGCTACTTTCGAGGTCACTGGACTCAAAAGAATGCGCTGCTTTGTTTCTCTGGCTTGGAGCCATTACTTAACGACTAGAATGCAGGAAAGGAGGCAATGATTCTCCCGCACAAGGACAAACATGTAAGATTTGGAGTTTTTATGTAAACACGTTTTGGTTTGGGAGAGTGAATTTTTAGCAAAGCTCAAAGAAATGTCCAGATAACTGAGTCCACCCTCCCCTCTGTG